TTCGGATCCCACATATGAGGGCCAGTGACACTGCCCTCTACAGCTAAGATGCTGAACAACAGCTCAACCTGGAGCTGGGCTGCCGTGCGTCACTGGCAACGGCGTGGGCTGCAGTTCCCTGCTGCAGTGGGCTGCCATAAGCTACCGTGTGTAGCCGGCAGCCAGTGTGAGCGGCCAGCAGCTGCTGTGAGCGGCCGTCCAGAAGCCGGCGACTGATCTGCCTCGCCCGGGAAGAGCACAATGATGGTGCTAGCTTAGGCCAGTGAAGCAACATCCTCCACAACTATACTGAAGAACAAAACAACAGCAATTTGTCTGTTCCCCTTTCCCCGATTCCCCAATAAAAAAAATAACAAATAACAAATAAAAAGATTCTCTCTTTGTCTTTAACCTTTGGCATTTCAAAAAAAAAAGTTGGCTTAAGAGCAGGAGCTCTGAGCAATGGGCTGCTGGTTTGATTCCCACATTGGCCACTGATGCTGTGCCCGAGCTGAGCTGTCACTGAGCTGCCAACAGGTGGCAGGATGGCTCAGCTGGTGTAACAACAAGATTGCCTGTTAGATGGTGGGCTATGCCCACCCGCAACTAAGACTGAATTCGCAACTAAGACTGAACTCGGCACCTTGAGCTGAGCTGCCGCCCGGATGGCTCAATGGATAGGGCGTGTGCTCTTAAAAAGGCTTCCGGGTTCGACTCCCGCATGGGATGGTGGCTATGCCCACCCGCAACTAAGATTGAACACAGCACCTTGAGCTTAGAGACCAAGAGCTGCAGACGGGAAGCCAGATGGCGACTGGCGCTCTCCACAATGAAGACTAAAGAAAAACAAATTGGCAGGTTCCCTTCCCCAATTCCCCAACACTGTTCCCCTCCCCCAATTCCCCAATAAAATCTTTAAAAAATAAATAAATAAATAAATTATATACATATATATATGAAGGCTTTAGGCACAGGTCATCCATTTGAAATATTTTAGGAGAATTTTAATGCCATGAGGAAAATGATTATATATAAGTAAAAAAAATGAGGATTACTAAACAATATATATATATAGTAAGACCCTAATTTTATAATTATCATAATAATAATTATGGGACTCTATTAATAAAGATTATCATTATATAAACCTAGGAATCAAAAATGGCTGGAAAAATATATATATGAACGTATATTAAGGGCATTTATCTCTGGTTAGTGGGGTTTAGGGGTGGTTTTATCATCTCTTTTCTGGATTTCCAAATTTTCTACCAGATAATTCTGTTTATAATTATAACCAGAAAAAAAGGAATTTTGATTGATAAGCAAAATGGCTAGATTTCCACTGTTTTGCAAATTATGGCAAATAGGATACAGCATTTGCAATTTAATTAGAAACATTAATTCTTATTAAGGAGATTATAGGATACTTAATTTAAAATGCAAACAATACAGTAAAATTAGTTGAGCAGTCAGTGTTCCTCTTGAATTTATAACATACAGGTCAAACACAAATAGTGTGCTTTTCTAAAATAGCCTCTTTCATCATCTACCTGGATGCATACCTGACATTTCCAACTAGCTAAAAAGTGAAAGGGGAACAAACTGGAGAGAACTAAAAAAGGAAAGAAAAGATTAAGTTGAAAAAAGGATCTCCTTTTTCTTGGGTTCATGTTTCTACATGAATGGACAATAATTATAGAGTAACACTTTCAGCCTCTCTCAGCTTCCCCCCCTGCCTCCCCCCCTTCCTCAACAGAAAAAGAGTCAATTATGTGATTGATCAGTTTGGAAGGAAGAACTGAGCACCCATAGCTCAGCTTCTCTCCCCTTTGGGATCAACCTCCTGCACAGAACATATGCTCTTTGTCAGCTCTCAGCCATACAAGAAGCTGAAGGGTAGAGGGAAGTCTGTGGTTATTGGGCACCACCAGGAACCAGTGAGTGAGACTCTAACTGACGTTGGGGTTACAAATCTGATGGCTGCTAAGCCATTTTCACCAACGCCTTTCTCTATTTATAATAAGGTCATTTTGATCTCTGTCTGCCTGGCTTCTAGGTTCTGAACTCAAGCCAGGGAAAAAGTCTATTGTTTGTTGCCCCTCCCCTTCCATAAACACACACTAACAGATGGTGGACAGGAGAAACAGTACCTCCTTAAAGCTCTGATTGAACCACCTAAGAAATGTTCTTTCCGGGGCCGGCCGAGTGGCGCAATGTTAAGAACTGCCTTGGGACGCCAGAGGCCCCGGTTCGGATCCCACATATGAGGGCCAGTGACACTGCCCTCTACAGCTAAGATGCTGAACAACAGCTCAACCTAGAGCTGGGCTACTGGGAGTCGCCGGCGACGGCGTAGGCTGCAGCCCCTGTGGCAGTGGGTTGTCATGGGCTACTGTATGTAGCCAGCAGCCAGCGTGAGTGGCCAGCAGCCACAGTGAGCGGCTGTCCAGAAGCCGGTGACTTATCTGCCTTGCCCAGGAAGAGCGCAATGATGCTGCCAACTTGGGCCAGTGAAGCAATGTCCTCCACAACTAGAATGAAGAACAAAAGGATAGCAACTTGTCTGTTCCCCTTCCCCCAATTCCCGAGCACTGTTCCCATCCTCCCAGTTCCCCAATAAAAAAAAAAAATCTTTAAAAAAAAAAAAAAACAAATGTTCTTTCCAAGTGAGAGATTGCTTCAAAACAAGTTTAAATTATTTTTGTTAAATCGAGGTCACGTTTTCACTCTATAAACTACACTTCCTGGTTTTACAACCCTAATCCTATCATAGGTATATATCATAAACTAGGCTCCAAATTGTTATATTTCTGTCTATAATTGGTTGGTTGAAAGACATCACTCCCTAGAGTTAATAACCTACCTTTAGCCCATCATCCACATCCTTCACATAACCTTTTTCATATAGTTCCTGGGGAACATTTAAGATACGTTTTGAAAAATCGTTTTCCTGCCAGTCCACACGAAGACCTGTAATAGATTAACAGTGACTTAAAAACAGCTAAGAGAGCTTCTGTTCTTGTCAATTTTCTGCCACACTTTCTTTAGAATGCTCTAATATTTATCCAAAATTAAGCATAGATGGGAGAAAGAAGGATGCCATAAAAACAACTCCTTTGGGTTAATGGTATTTACCTATAGCAGGACCTGTCATCTTGGGTTTCCAGTGTAAGCAGGACCTTACACTGGAAAAATCTAGGAGAGCTAATAGGCAGCAACTTATAAAAATGCAAGGATATACAAGACAAAAAAAAAAAAGCATGTCAGTCTTCTCACAGCAACTCAGCAGGCAAAATCCCTTCGATTTGTGTGTTCAGGCCTGCTCCAGGGCTAGAGGTCTGGGACATAATTCAATCTTTATGAGCCCTTGGAAATGGGAATGGCAGTTTTATTGGCCTCAGCAGAGTCATGATTCCATGCTCTGTGAATGTCCCTGTACTCAGCCACAAGGGGAATGCGATAGCCTCTCCATTCAAACAAGAACAAATTCAACCTTTCATTTTAAACTGTTTGACCCAGCAGGTCTGGAGAGGATATTGCCGTCCCCCTGGAGAGCTAGAGTAACAAGAGTTCAAATCTGTTCAGCTTCAAGATGATGGTCATTCCCATTTGGAAGAGGTTTTAAGTGTACGTCTGCTCCCTGTGTTCGAGTACTAAAAAAAGGCAAGTTCATATTGTTATCAGCTATAATAGTTCACATGGTAGTCTTTGAGGGATTTGTCAAGAATAAATCATTCTCAGAAAAACTTTATCCTTCTGCATTCCTGGAACAAAGGTTGACTATTGACCTCATTTTCTACATCAGAGGCAAATGAGAGGTTGAATGGTATTAAACAGGCAAAGCAAATCATCAATACAATATAGCAAATCATCAGAAAAACACTGGCAGGCAAACATTTTAGTAGGTGGGTTTAAGGTTTTCTTAGTGATCCAGGTCACTTCCCAGGCAGGTTCAAGGGCTTAATTCTGCCTAGCAAGTCCAACTCTGAGAAAGATTCTAGCCTACCCAGAGTATATCCGAATCCATACAACCATATGAGTTTTTCCAGAGTTCTTCCAAATTAAGTCCCAAGATCACTTAAATCACAGTTTAGCATCTGTGTACCTGGTACAAAATGTATATTCCTAAAACATGATAAAATCACAGATGTATTCAGTAAGTCTGGAGATACAAGATATCAGGAATCAACTTGGATTCTATTTCTTATCAAGTATCCCAATATTTTTAACAAACCTAAGGCCCAAGCCACAGTCCCAAATATCCTACTGAACTTTTCTGCACTTCAAGACACAAACAAGAAATAGTTTCTTACCACTGCCACTCCAGGGAAGAGTTGGGATACCTGCAGTTTGAGCCACTATGGAAGATGCAATCTTATCCCCCAAAGCCCACATGGCCTGGCTTGGTGGACCTAAAAATAAAACAATAACGTTGATGACTGTAACATTTTAGCCTCATTTGTGTCACATATATTTTGTCTTTTATATAATTATTTTTGTATTTGTCTTGTCTCCCCTATATCACGTGTCATGGAGATCATAAACTTGATTATGGAGACTACTATGTTTTGACTCGTCTTTGTACCCTTCATAGAAAGTAACGTCCTAACTTAAGCTTTCGGTACACAGTGAGAGTCCTATATATATATGTGTGTATATATATATATGTGTGTGTGTGTGTGTGTGTGTGTATATATATATATGTATATATTGAATAAATTCCTGACAAATATAACTCTGATTTTATCGTCATAGGAAGGTTGAGTGTTAAATGAAATTTTATAT